TCTTTCCTGTCACACATACGTAAACCTTTCATTGGTCTTTGCCCTGCTAAATGAGCATTAGCACCGTAAGCCTATAAATGTACGTACACAAGAAATCTGGTTAAAATATCCTCAAACCCTTAATCCTTAAACGAATATGCGCTATATGTAAAATATGTGAATATAATGGTTGTAGTTTACTATCTGTTGATTTCTTTTATTTTATTTGTTAGTGATCTTTTAGTCTTTAAAATAGTGAAAAATGACCAATAGGTTTTTGCCAATTGGTGATCAGATCTTATAGAAACGGTTGAAGGGACTATTGGTTTTACTACACCGATTTTTAATGTAAATTTAATTAATTTACTATCAGAACTAAGATGTTATAAGTAATCTCTAGAATCCGCTGAGCCCCGTTAATCAGCACGAGTGACGAGGGATTTCTAAATCCTTAATTACAAACCAGTTTGCTGTCCCTTTTCCATTCTTCTGACACCGTACATCTGTTCTGTTCAATTCACTTTTATTTGTATAGCGCCAAATCGTAAAGCAACTTTCATTTCAACCTTTTATTGTCATTCAACAAACACAGTTGCACAATACAGCAACAACATTGACCACCCTGTTCAGCCTGGAGCACCAGGTTTTAGCAGGAAGTACAACTGGGTGTTGTCTTGAGTAAAAAGTGTTTGACATTGACATTGAATGCAAACACCAGTTAGTGCAAACAGATGTGTAAACCACCTCACTCCCCCCCCCCTAGCTGGCCGACTTGAACCGCCGGCTGCCAGCCGAAGCAGGACTACCGCCACCCAAGCCTGGCCCGCTGCGCCCACGCGAGGTCCCCCCACCACCACGACCCTCCCCACACACAATCACCCTGCAGACCCCGGCCTTCAGGAACCTGAGGCTTCCCAAGAGGCTGCGTGTGGTGTACTTCCTGGCCCGCACTCGCCTGGCGCAGCGCATTATCATGGTAAGAAGATAAATTCAAAGCTGACTGTAAATTTGTACTGTGTTACGTACAGTCTGCGGTCTGACACTGTTGCTTCCTGTGCCTGGAGTCACTGTGGTATTAATTGCATTCTGATTGTATTAGTGTGCAATGACAAGGACAGGTCAAATATTTGTTACTTCAGTGACATCAGTGTGGCCGCACCCTCAAGCTGACTTTTAAGTATGTGCCTTTGTTTAAAGTGGATAAAGTAGCTTTGCAGTTGAAACTACATTAACAGGAACTGGTAGCTTAAGGCTACTTCCACATTAAGCTAGGTAAATCTGGGGGGGAAAAGTATCCACACTAGTGGTTTCAGGTTCTTTTTTTTTGTCTAAACCAAAATGTTGATGTCTTTTTGAGTTTTAAGTGTTCCCTGTCCACTTGTGAGACAGGCTTTTACAGATTCATCCACTTTTTAAATCATCCACAGGGATGGAAAATGCCAGATAAAACTGGATTTATTATCGTGTAGTAAAGAGTTACAGCATAGCTTCTGAGTCAATGCATGTAGACATAGTATCTGAAGTGAACTTCCTCAAAATGTGACCACACACTGGGGCCACGAAGATACCACATAGAAAATTCAAGAACTGATTGATGAGCCTGAGCAGCTTTCTTTAACTGACCACATTAAGAAAGCTGTAGACAGGCTCTCCTTTTTAGTAATCTGTATCTAGCAAAGCCATCTCCACTGCAAACCTTTGACTTGCTGCGACACACTATCATAGTGAACAAAAGAATAATTGCACATAGAAGTATGAAGTGGTCTCCTGTTCTGTGTGAACACTCCCAGTGCTTTGTATCATAATGTCAATGAAAGAATGTGAACACAACCTTGCATCAAGTACAAGTCCAGCTTTAGTGTGGCCAAAATAGTGTGGAACAGATGCATTTTCCGCTTTTTGCCAAATTAAATGGTATACGGTCACAGACAGGGACACATGACTAAATGTTTCTCACCCACTCGCTTGATGAAGTTTCTCTGCTGGCTATGGCACACTGTGAATAAATTTGCATGTGAATGATTGGTTTGTTATGACACTTGGTAAAAGAGAGATTAGTTATTATGACAAATGTTTCTGACAGATAGAAAATATGCTTATATGATTTATATTATTTGACAATGTGATATGATATATTATGTGAACAAGATATATGAATGTAAAGAATGAGAGAAGGTGGAGACGTGACTTTTTCAGGCCTCACTGAACATCAGTCGAATGAAAGCAAAAGTCAAAGCAGCTCGAGCAGGAATCTCAGATAAGACACTTAACCTGACTGATAGTCATCATTGATTCGCTTCACCTCCAGGTTGGCACGGTCATCTGGATCGGCATCCTCGTCTACACCGACCCGGCCGGAATACGCACGTACCTGGCCGCACAGGTGTCTGAGCAAAGCCCTCTGGGAGATCCCGGTGGAGGTGGTCTGCCCCCTCACCTGGGAGTAGCCCCCGTGTTTCGTGCAGGAGATCCTACCAGCACCCTCAGCATTCACCCTGCACCAGATCCAACTCCCTTACCTGAGAACCAGTCACAGGGCCACCATGGCTCAGCCAGGGCAGGGCCCCTCCCCCAGGCTCCACCCGCTGTGCCCCAGATCACCTGGGGGGCGGAGGACGAGGAGGGCTGGAGGAGGCTCTCCTTCAGGCACTGGCCATCGCTCTTCAGCTACTACAACATCACTTTAGCCAAGAGGTGAGCAGGAGAGTTATTCAGTGTTTACTCCCAGTAGAACCCACTGACCCGAGTGAGTCCATTTTAGGTTGACAAGTAACTGACTCATAAATGCTCGTAAATTGCTTGATTCAGTGATGTCGTAACTGCATAAGCTATTTTGTCAGTTAAGAAAACTCTGTTTACGATATCTGCCTTCCTCCTTCATTAACCCCTAACTCCAGTTGTATCTTAAAAAAAGAGATTCATGTTGTAAATAAAGTTAAAGAAAAGTCTAAAGTCTTACTTTTATTGTGTTCTGAAAAAAGCAAGATGACATAGACATTAAATTCTGACAGCTCTTTCATATAGCAGCCTGTCAAACAACAACTTTCTGACTTGGATGGGGTGAAAGGCAGGGACAGATAGTATTTGCAGATCTGTCTTTAAAGGATGGAGTGGCCTATAACATACTAGCATTTTACTACTGACTAAAACTGTGTTTATGCTCCTACATAACTGTGCTTTGGCCAGTTTTTGCTTGTGCACACCATCAGTTTTGTAATATCCTCCTTTTTACACCTCAGATACATCAGCATCCTGCCTGTCATTCCCGTCACCGTTCACGTGAGTCCCCAGGAGGCCATTGAGACACGTCACCCCCAGGACACCAGACACCCCCCTCCACCCATTCCCAAAGTCTCTGCAGATCTACAGACGGACCTCACCCTCTACAAGTGAGTACTAAGACACACACACACACACACGTCCTTTCGCCTGATTTTAAAGAAACAGCCCTCTAAATCACAGAGTTGAAGTGCAGTAATGTAAAAGTAACACTGAAAGAGCAATCAAAGATCATCAGTCATAGTGATGTATCATATATGCAAAATAACAAAATAAATCCAAAGTGTCAGTTTCAGCAGCTCAACAGAAGGTTATTGTAAAACACTCTTTCTACAACAACTGTAAAAATGATGAAGGGAGAAACATCATGTTGTAATGTCATATTACTAAAGCTCTCCAAATATGTCAGCCTTCATTAAAAAATATGGCAGTAGGTAGGGAGAAATCACTGCATGTAAATGTTTGTTTAAAGTTATTATGTTGGTGGTGTCTCGGGCCGCTGGTTTCTCTTCTCCGTGTAAATAGTGTAACAGTTTATAATTCTAAAACGTTAACTAGACTAAAGTATACTGTAGTGAACTACAGTGCAAATATTTGTTATCATTGCATTTGTTGTGATGGTTACATAAACTCAAAGTATCCAACTCATTGACTTTTTAATGTTTTATTGTTTTACAACATTGAATCATTTCATAATCAGGCTTTTTTACACTTTGATCAAACAATGTTGAAATGGAAATGTCCCTACAACCTGATCCAATCGATGAAAGACTTTCTTTCTTTTCTCTTTTAGTCTGCCACAAATTGATCAGTTTGGGGAAAAATGGGAAATCTGCACCTTGTTTGAAAAGGAAAGAAAAGAAACAGCACTCTAGTAGTGTAAGCAGGGGCCACAGCAGTTAAAGGTCCTTGGCCATGGGTCTTTGCACCAGTGTGTCATTGAACTGATTGCACAGTGTACATAGAAACCTTTGCTGAAGTCTCTTCTGCAGTAGTCTTCATCTGGAGGTAGAACCGTCAAGGTCATCTCGAGCTCTCAGGCTCATGTGTAACACACTGCCAACTCTGGGCAGCGAATAATGACACATTGGATTTATTGTTTCACTTTTGGTAAGTGATAGACTTACGATTATCTAGTATTGTGATAATCGGTATCGGCCGACGTCAGACTCACGAGGCGAATAAACAAAATGTCTTCAGACACATCTGCAGGTGTTCTTGTCAGTGTGGTTGCTAGGGAACGATGTTAGCGCTCCCCCTTGTAAGTTTTGGGAAAGTGGTGAAAAAGTTGGTTAAGAGCCCTGTACTCTAACCCTCAGCATCCTGCTTTAAACATATGTCTGAATTTTGTGTTTTTATGCAGTGATATCTGGAGGTACAGTGTGTAGGAAGAAGGAAATAAAGGACTCTGGGATGCATGCGTGCACTGTGTCAGGTGTCAGTGGACTGATTGTTATCAGAGAAAAATAGAGACAGAAAAGGGAGGACATTTGTTTTCTAAGCCTTCAGCAAGCATTGTCTTTCCCTGACTTGACAAGCCTGGCAGACAGGTTGCTTTAAAGATACCTGTGGTCTGTGATGGAACAGTGGAGAATAAGATGACTCATCCTGTATAGTCTCAGAACAATTAAATATACTACTTGGTTAAATGCATTTCCTTTTTTTTCTGTAGCTCTAATTTTAGATTTTTCAGAGGAACACTTGACATCATGTATTGATTCTGTTTTACAAAGAAGTGCTGACAGCTTCTTGGAATCAAGGGTTCATCCTTGTAATGTTACAGGTAAACCTGTTTGGGAAAGCCTGTGATAGATGGGAACATTCAGTCGTCTCATAAATGACTTCATACACGGTGTTGTTGTTGCTGTTGTATTGTTAAGACTCCGCAGGGTCGAGTTCTCTGTGCGGTGTAGCGTAAGGCACTGCGCTGTGACCTTGACTGATAAGTGGAAGGTTGAGTTCTTCTTTTCATCTTTGGACAGAAGATACGAAGGCTATCAGCTGAAGTTAGGTCAGGGTCATGACCTTCATAGCGGGGAAGTGGCGGCTGAGTTTACGGCTTGTTTAGACGACCCTGAGACAGAGAGAAGGCCAGTGTGATAAAAGGTGAACAGAGCAGGTTGCAACACAGGCAGATTATTTTTTAATCACTAGAAAGGATCTTTGCATGGAACAAAAAACAACAATGAAGCCTTAGTTCAGGTTCAGTTTCTCAGTTATTTCCACTCAAATGTTCCATATATGAGCACAAGCTATTTCAAGCCGTTGTGGCCCGTATATTTAAATTCAGTCTGCACAAAACAACACTCAACGCCTCATTGCTGCTAGATCTCTGTCTGCGTCAGAGCAAATTGATCAAATCCCCAACCGCCTCCTGCATTAGCATTTAAATTAGGTTGAATTTCCAATGTATCTCTCATTGTGTGTTCATGTTCATTCAAAGGCTCTTCCGGCAGGTTCACAAGCTCATAGGCGGTCTGTGTCCAGAAATAAGAAGAAACTTTGCCTCGGGTTGGGAATAACAGAGAAGGAATTAGGAATTCTTCTTAAAAATTGAAGAAAAAAAAGAAACAAGTTAGTGAACAAAACCACTGTATCATGTCCCCTCCTGATGGCACCTACTTCATGAAGTGTTAGAAAGTTTGTGGAGAATTGCTTGTAGTGTAGCTGAAAGATAAAAATTGTATCAAAATTCGTCAAGATATGTGCTATTTCTTTGTAATGTCAATTTCTTTCTCGAATATGAAACAAACAAGTCACAGGGTGTGCCCAAAAATCATTTCTGTAGAACTTAATAGCTTAAAAGTTTTCTATATTTCCATACAGCCGCACGTTCAGCTGTTCAAAATTGCACAGCATTATCCAAGTGTCCTTGAGCAAGATACTGAACCTCAAATTCCTCCCACTGCTGTGGCGCTATACAAATACAGTTAATTTACAATTTACCATTTTAGCCTGTCAACCACTAGGGGGACATGGTGTGGTTCCTTGTGTATTTTTCAGTAACATGGATATAAGAGATCAACCCTCCACATTGTTCAAAATCACAATTCTCACTTGCTAGAATCACAACCTTGCACAGCATTCAACAGGAGGGGTCCAGGCACTTTCTCTGACTCTGTGTACGTGCTGCACTGCCATGTGCAGCTCGACTGGGTAGTGCCAAGATCAGATTTGATTCCCTCTGCAGTTGAGCATAACTTGTACACACCAAATGTTGATTTTCCATAGGTTTTTTCTCGAGTGTTGACTAGTTCAGTTTGCAAATCAAACTCACCCTTAACATCTTCACCTCTGGCCTCTTGTGTCCTTCACTTGTGTTCTCACTCCTACACGGCTGACTTTTCTTCATGCTCTGAAAGCTAACAAAAGTACTGACTCATTAACTTGTTTCTACAAAGATTTAGTTATTTCAAGAAGTGTAATAAACTTTACAAAGGATTGAGGGTTATTAGTAAGTTATTTTCTGAGTCTATTAAGTTATAGTCACACACCCCACTGTAACCCCACTTCATTTGTAAGTGGACAGTGTGAGCCCAAAGAACCCAAATGCTTTATGCTTTAGTAGCATACCAAAATGCTACTGAAGTTTTTTTGTATTATTTGTTTAACTATATGATTGGCCATTAATTGACCATACACACAAGGATAAATCTCCATTTTAAGCAGTTTAAGATGCTGGAAATGTCCTCACAACTCCTCGTTTCCTCTCCGTCTACCATCTAATAAAAGCTTGATGACGCAACATTCCTCACACTTCCAGATTCACTGTGTACTTTACTTTGCGTTAATAGGGGAGTTTAAAAAAAAAAAAAAAAAGACTGGTATTTCAGGCAGAGTAGGTCACACTCCTATGGCAGGTTTCATTGTCACAGTTATGCTACATTCCACAGCAGTAGTAGAGCAGGCCGATGTGCTACGTCATGCTTTGCCAGGTGGATAGTTCAGCACATTGTTGGACTGGGTTTAAAAGGTTGAACGTGTGAGGGTGTAGCTGTCATTTTATATTGATTCAGAATTTGTCTCTTTGCTTCTTTAACACACAATATTACTTTACAGGAATATGCGTGTTTATGAAACATAAGGTCAGGACTACTAATAATAATTGTATTCCAGTTAAAAGTGTGAATTGAACATTTTGTAAGTTAAATGTTTAAAGATCACTTCCAGATGTGTATCAAGACATATACAAATAATCATCTTGGTACAGTCTGATATGTTTCTTTTTCCACAAAATAAAAGTTCATTTTCACATTTAAATGCCTAAAAAAATTCCTGCGGATACAAGATGTCTCCATCACTGTAAATTCCATTTCTCAGGGTAATGGTGCACTGTGGCTTCAACATTTCACAGTTGTATAATTGCATACAGCACCAGGAATGACTTCTTCACAAATTCATCGTTTCTAGTGTCAAACTCTGCACATACATCATTCTGCACAGTGAAGGAACAAGAAGAAAAACACATTTTTGAGTGGAGGCGGTCTTCTAAAAATGTTTTTACATAATTAAATGAAGAAATATAAAATGGTAGCCATTGAAAGCTGTGGTTGTGCTTGGCAGAAACCTTCTTTACTTGACTCCTCCTTCGTTCGTCCTTCCTTCCAGGGTGGCAGCTCTGGGCCTGGCGGCGGGGGTCCTGCTGGTTCTGCTGCTCTTCTGTCTCTACCGGGTTCTCTGCCCACGTAACTACGGCCAGAACGGCGTCGCTCATGGGCGCCGGCGCCGAGGGGACCTTCCCTGCGACGATTACGGCTACTCGCCACCCATCAGCGAGATCTCACCACTGCTGCTGAGGGGCCACAGTATGGTGAGAATGGACTCGGATAAAGAAGACACATATACCAAGATGACTGAATAAACTGTTAGATCGTGTTACATGAGTCCAATTACAGTGTCAGTTTGGAACAACAACAGAAAAAGTAGTTCACTGTGCCAAATAACATTTGAACAGGAATAGAAAATAGTTTGTGCAGATTCCAAGAAGAGGTGTTAGCCAAGAATAAATCCAGATGTACAGACTGTGGAAGTTAACTTGAAAATGAAAGCCCATTGGTTAATTTGCTTCATGCTTTGTCTCTCTGTCTTGCAGGACATCGAGTGTTTGGCCAGTGACGGGATGCTGCTGGCTAGCTGCTGTCTGGCGGGGCAGATTCGGGTCTGGGACGCCCAGACTGGTGACTGTTTGACCGTCATCCCAAACCACGGGTGAGAATGTCACAATATTGATTTGTTCCAGTGCTTTGACAGTAACGTTGTCCTGTATAATTGTCCAGGACTTAACAGACTTTTTATTTAAAGGTCTGCTGTATTATTGCTGACTCAAGCTAAACGTGAGTTCAGTATCATCTGGTGACACTCATTCCTCATTGTATCACAACACCACTCTTCTTTTACTGTTTTATGGAATTTAAGCTTTCAAATATGTGTAGAAGAAAATACTCTAAATATTAGCACAACTGATACTGATCTTTTGAGGCAGATACGTATTTGAGTTTTAAGAATGTGATAGCAGTATATTGACACATTTACATAAATCCATAACAAACAAATAAACAAACATTTGTGAACTTGTCAGTGCTCTCTGGTGGGCAGTGGTGACCTCAAACATACTTCAGTACATATTTATTTTATCTGTCAGCCAGCATATGCTGACACAGCTGTAAATCTGCAGTAAGTTAACGTATTAACTTAAATAAGTTATTTGACACAGCTGAGTACCATTTCCTCCTTAGGCTCAGACGTAGCAGCAGCAGCAGTGGCTGCTGGGAGCAGCGGGATGGCTGGGACAGCGTGGGCGGAGCCACGGAGACAGAGTGTTTAGGCTCTGAAGCTCGCGGTCAGGCCATCAGTGGTGATGGCCTATCAGAGGAGGAGGACGGCTACCCGCTGAGGCGCCGCACCGCTCCCGCCCGGCCGACTCTATTCACCGACCAGCCCGATCTCACACCGCTCATTGACACAAACTTCACCTCCCAGCCCCCCTCCCACCTCTCCCCTCCACCCAGAGAAGGCTTTGACTTTGGAGGTCTGGTGGAGCGGGCCTACATGGAGCACGAGCCCCCTTCACCCTCCACCTACCCCTCACCTTCCTCTGCCTCCTCCTCGCCGCCCTCAGGAGCTCAGCTCCAGAGGAGACCCAGCTTAGGAGATGCAGCTGCATTCTTAACCCAGGAGAGAGCTTCCACAGCAGGGACGCAGGCAACAGCAGACTGGGAAAGCTCCGTCTGGGCCATGGAGCTGAGAGGAAACCTGATAGCTGCCGGGAGGAGCAGCGGTAAACTGGAGGTGTGTAAAATAATAAGTGTACCTTGACGTGGAGAAGAGGCAGTCTGCAGTTACATGCCTTATCCAACAAAAACTGGAAAAACACTGTGTGGTCATGATGATGACCACATTTAAAAAATGTACAAAAAGTTAAAGTTTATTAAAAGATTCACTGTATTTGGGTAAAGATTTAATATTTTTAAAGATACTTAGTCTTTGCACCTCTATACATATTTTAGTTACTGAACCCCTACCTCCTCTGTCATTCTGTAATAATAATAATAATAATAATAATAATAAATAACTAAAATGAATACAATGCTGCATACACTATTTGATAAACATGTAAAATGAATGTAAACTCCTGTTTGGTTGCAGTTGTGGGACGCAGTGGAAGGCTCGTTACGCTGCAGTAATGAAGACGGAGTGTCTGGGATCACAGCTCTAGCCTTCCTCAACAACAGGTTGAACATACAAATACACAGAAACACACAGCGCATCCTCAGGGATAGGACTAATATTTGGTTTTTGGTTCCACATGCATTTCTCATTTGTTTCAAGTTTTAGTGCATTTTGGAGCATAAATCTGCCTTGCATGTAGGTAATTCACTGGGATTAAACCAGTTTCTAAACACTAGGTTCATGGCTGAAGTTGCTGCCGCTGCAGATTTCTGTTGCTGCATTTCTTTATTTTCATGTAGACATCATAAAAATATCAGTCAGCTAGCTGTAATTAAGTGAATATAAAACTAAATACAGTTAAAAATGTGTGAACTTCAGTGACGGTGTTTGATGGTCAGTGGATACAAGCTCATTCTCACTTTACCATGAACTGTGTTGTGGTGTCTCGTGTGTATTGGTAAAATAAGACAAGCACGATGACTTTTTATCCTGAGACTCCATGTTTCTCTTCGTCCTCAGAATCGTAGCGGCTCGGCTGAACGGGTCTCTGGACTTCTTCACTGTTGAGATCAACAAACCTCTGTGTCTGCTGCAGTACAGAGGTGAGGCTCAACAACGGATGCCTTTCATTACCTTTATTCTTATATTCTTACAGCTTGTTTAATTGAACTAGCTGCATCGCCTTAATTAGCTTAGTGTGAACTATATTAAAGTGTGACAACCTTATTCAGTAGGTCTTTTTCTCTTCTTAATGCCCTTGATAGCTTTTTATTTATTATTTATTCATTACTGTCATGTAGCATCTGGAAACAGATCAAACTGTCCCTTCTATAGTAGATGATTCTTATATAAAATACTCTTTTAATCAATAAAGTAATCTGCAGTTTAAAGGAAAATGAAAATAATTGTTGCCGTAATGCAGATACATGCAGCACTGGAATGTCACTATCTTACGTTTCACACATTACAAAATATAAACCAGAGCTGCTGCAATTAGTCAATTGACAGACATTTAATCTGCAACTATTTTATCAATCAATTAACTGGTTAAGTCATTTTTATGTCAAATAAAATCCACAGAGTTGGAGGTTTTATTGAACATAGCAATAAATGTAATATTTTTAGATTTTGGACGGCTGCTCAGACAAAACAAGACACATCATGTCATCACGCTGATGTAGGACAGTGCAGTGGACATTTTTGATCCTGATATTAAATAGACCAAATGATTAAATTAACATTTCAGTATATAAACTAGTGATTCCACTAAATGAGAGATGAAACAGGAGGGAGAAATGACCCTAAATCTCTACGTCCTCCTACAGGTGCCCCTGGGCGAGGCAGCATGCCTCCGTCTCCCTGTTACAGCAGCGAGGATGTGATCAGCTGCCAGCTCACGCGCTCGGTACAGTGCGCTCACCAGAAGCCGATCACGGTGCTGCGAGCGGCCGCCGGGAGGGTCGTCACCGGTAGCCAGGACCACACTGTCCGGGTAAATCTTGTTTTTACATGTTTTTAACTGAATTTGTAAAAAGAAAAACCACCAGATCTAAACTAAAATTACTAGACAGTGGACTTATTAGTGTTACCGTTCAATTCTAATCAGTTCTTCCTCTGTTTGTCAGATTTATCGTCTAGAGGACTCGTGTTGCCTCTTCACCCTGCAGGGTCACTCTGGAGGGATCACAGCCATTTACATAGACCAGGTCGGTAGTGCACCTTCCTCTAATACTATTTAATGTCACAGTATAAGTCTGTACTCTCCATACACCAAAATACATCTGCTTCTATGATGATGATGTAGTCTGTTCTTAGTTATCAGTTATATGATTCAGGTTGGGACTTACTTACATTTATAAGTGGAGATTTTAAATTAGTAACCATCATAAAATCCATTAAAAAATCAGTCAAAGCCTTTTTCCTGTTTCCTGCAAACATTTTTTCGTCTGTCTCCTCAGACGATGGTTCTGGCGAGCGGTGGGCAGGACGGCGCCATCTGCCTGTGGGACGTCCTGACAGGGAGCCGCGTCAGCCACGTTTACGGTCACCGAGGAGACGTCACCTCGCTGGTCTGCACCAACTCTTGTGTCATCAGCTCGGGACTGGATGACCTCATCTGCATCTGGGACCGCAGCACTGGGATCAAACTCTACTCCATACAGCAGGTAGAGACGTGTTTCTTTTTAACACGTCTAAAAGGCACCAATCACCAGTGGGCGTCCTGCCATGGCCAGCAGTTAAATGTTACATTCATGTTGTTCAGTTCAAGATGAGGTTTGTTTTGTGTTTTTCTGCTTTTTAGACTGTGACATTTGAATAATTCTTTGTGGCCGAAAGAGTGAACTATACAGAATAAAGACTAAGAAAAGTCCCAGAAACAAACCCTGGCAATAGTCTTCTGACTCTTTGTGGACCACTAATTTAAAAGGCTTTTTATCCCATTAAAAGACAAAAACTAACAATGTCGTTTTGGTAATGTATAGTAAATTACCCAAACAGTAAGCCAATTAATCATAATCACCTGATTTAAGTCACTGACGAAGCAAAATGTCGAACATATGCTCATTCCAGCTTATCTAACGTGATGATTTATCCTTTATATCATTGTCATTTAATTAACAATGAGCACAAACACTTATCTTGGGCATTTTTCACTATTTTATGAAACTTCACAGGTTCAGAAAAACAATACTATTTAAAAAATATATATCATCTTATATTGACCTTCTTACACAACAGCACAGTTTTTCCCTCCTACCCTGGTGACTCGAGCTAACCCCTCTCTCTCCTCACCAGGAGGTGGGTTGCGGGGCCAGTTTGGGAGTGATCTCCGAGTCTCTCCTGGTGACGGGGGGCCAGGGCTGCGTCTCCTTCTGGGACCTGAACTTCGGCGACCTGCTGCAGACCGTCTACCTGGGCCAGAGCAGCGACGGCCAGGGCGTCCGGCAGCTGCTGGTGCTCGACAACGCCGCCATCGTCTGCGACTTCGGCAGCGAGCTCAGCCTGGTTTACGTGCCCTCGGTGCTGGAGAAACTAGACTGAGGAGAGAAGGGTAGCTGCAGCCGTGGGAGCACTCTTAAAAAAAAAAAAAACATGCACTCTGAACATCATTGTCTTCATCATTTTGACTTTTTTTTTTTGGCTTACTTTTTCTGTTTCTGAAACCCAAAGGAAACACGACCATTAGTCCGGTTTCCATGTGCATCTCTCTTTCTTTTGTTGATGTTTTAAGTACAAGCCTGGATGTAACGAGGAAAAAAACGCTGAGGACTGATTGTGCAACCTGCTGCATTTTATGGGAGGGGGGCGGTGACAGACCCTCGATACCCAAGTGTTGACATTTACGAGGGTCACAAGGTTCAAGAGAAGCTGGATGTTTCTCACGTAAAGAGAATCCACAAGTCACCAGTTTGTGCTTTCTGTGTGTGCGTTTGTTTGTTTTGTGGCTCTGCCCTCTATGCTGCTGATACGGGTGGGGCTTCACGGTAACCCCACCCGCCCAGAGAGGAAGATAAAACTGTCTCCTTATTTTTTAATATTCCTGCTGCCTCTTTCGCTCGACAGCGAAGTGCAGCCACAGCGAGCTTGGCGGCTCTACGGCCTGTCGGGATGAGCTGCGCAGTTCTACATTAATGTGAGTGTGTGTGTGTTGGAGACTGAATGAATTTAGGCCCTTTTTTTTATTGCAAAACACTGCTGAGAACAAAAATGGATTGGATATGTGTGAAAAGTGTGCGTAAGGGAGAACTGATGATTACTGTAAAAAGTAAACCTCCAGAGGGGGCTGTTTTTATATGTATAAATCTATTATTTATTAGCGATACCTTTTTTTGAATAACATTTTGTTTATGAATGGCTAATCCCGGCTCCTAAACAAGAATATAGTAATGTGGAAATAATAACATAAATGTAAGATGGTGATTATTTGTTTGGCAGGGTTGGGGCATTGGTTATGTAACGATGATTTATAATATTGAACTGGAAACACTGAAGTGTTTGTTGTTATGGAGTTTGGGGGGGCTGCAGGAGAAAAGGTTCCTCCTTTCGTCCCAGCCTCAGCCTCTAATTCTGGGGTTACTGATGCGGTACAAGGAGCAGCTCCTGTGTGCTACACCTTCATCAGGCTACCTCCATTTTTTTCCAAACTGCTTGAATTTTGGATGAGAATACTGACGTCACGTCGTATTTTTTTTTTTTTATAAATTGTGCCCTTTAAGAGATTTATTTTAAAACTCATTGTTTACTGTAACTGTTTCAACTTAAACCATTTCCAATCCAGGATTTTCATTTTGGCCACAACGTGTTGTTGATGCAAACTTAAGTGGAGTCTGTTGTAAAACCTGTCCGCCTCTTTCTGCAGCCAGTGAAAATGTGAAGAACGGCAACAAATAGTCAAAGTCAATATATCCAGCAGCTGATCATTTAGAGACTCCAAACTACCTGAAGACTTGGTGTCTCTTTTAAAAAAACCTTGGCTGTTTTAATGCCCCTAAAAAGTTGTGAGGAGATCTTCGATACTAAACATTTCCACATGCTTTACCTTATATACACAACTCCAAACAGTGCCAATAAGCACCAGTTATTCAGTCTTACAGAGAATTTACTACAAGCCAAGACAGAAATAAGAGCACGCAGCAACAGGCGAAGAAATATCTGTTGCTTATTGTGATTGGTTGGAGAAGCGTATTTATTGTGAAGATGTTTGATTGAAGAAACCGTGTTGGAGCTGGTTCTGCTACATTTATTTTCTCTCTTTATAAATGACACTGGTATAAAATTCTGTGGACAGGTCCAACAAATTCACTGGTATTCTTCTGTAAAATAATTTCTCTAATTTGAGTATTTTAATAATTAATCAAATTTTACTAGAATCCCAACTGACTAGCTCAATTTCAAAACATTGATGTCATTGATAAAGTATCTAGTCAGCGCCTGAACTTCACCCCTTTACTCTGAATACCCGCTGAAAGAATGTCGTCGTCCAGGTTTAAGCCTTTTCCCTGACTGACCACAACATCCAGAATGTATTTTCTCCAGATCAGCCACCATCTGCTGTAGCTGCGTCTACTGAATGTCGTCCCAGAAGGTGTGAGAAACGAATCCGTTAAAAACCAGCGACTCAATCCTTCACAGTATCACTAATTCAATGCACTACTAACCCTCTCTGACGCGCATGCTCACACACGTTAGGCACTTTTTCAAACGTCGGCTTACTCATAGAAAATGTGGACATAACTAGACGCCTGCAGCAACTAGTAAACACGCACACTGCAGAAATATGTCGAGGAGGCAGCTTATAGGTCTGGTTAAACTGGGATCGATGCAGGGACCAAGTAGTTTGCAAGCAGCTGAAGATTTTTCAATTTGAACTTGAAGAGACACCTGCGTCCCACAGAAACCAGACCTGTGACATCCTTGGCATTGTAACCTGTTAATTTATTAGCTTTGTGTTCTCTGTTGAACACGTTAGTCGAAGAAAGCTTTAGGAATGGGAAAATGTGTAGCTAGTTTTTAGATTTTTTTTTTTTAAACTTGTGTTTTCTAGCAATGTGAATTTGATTTATAGCAAAAGTTTGGCATTTGGGGAAATGTGCTTACACTTATTCACTGTCTGGCTGAGTTAAATGAGAACATTCATACCACTCCGCTCAATATTTGGCTACCAGCAGGCGGTTACCTTAACACTGGAAACAGCTAGTCTGGTTCTGTTCAATGTAACAAAATCAACCTGACGTTAATTAACACGTTGACTATGCCTTGTTTAGGTAAGAACGACTAATAGACCATTTTGGGGGGGGTTTCTTGGCTCTGAACAGTTGCCGGGCAATAAGAAGAATGAATCGGCATTTTTACACGTATGTGCTGATTAACAAACGAGATATAATGTGTTAATTAACGTTAGTTAGCTTAAGAAGTGCTGGTCACCGACTCACCATTCTATAGATCCAGGCTGCTTGCCCCCCCCCACGTTTCCAGTCTTTGTACTAAGCCAACCTCCTGCTGAAGACGGATATGAAAGTGGTATTGGTCTTCTCATCTCGCAGAAAGCGAATGAAATCATTTCCCAAAATGTCGAACTATTCCTTTAAGGAGGGAAGGAGGGAGGGTTGCTGTGGCAGTTTCAGCTGAACCTTCGCTTACTTTGAATGTTCTGGTTCATCACATGCGGACTTGGCCTTATAACAATCCATATCCAACAGTCGGTTCATGAATATGGTTCTGTCCGACTCATGACAGTCAGCCGTGCTTCAAACATACCTTTTCATCCCGTCAGTGTACCATATCAAACGTTTGTGGATGCAGCCCTGTCATCCTCACTGTAACGGCAGAACTCTGATATTTAAGGCTTTGTGGTCCACATCTGATCCCCCGCCGGCTGCCTAAACAAGCAGAAATCAAGTTTCTCGTTGTTTAGACAGCTGTGGGAGAAAAAACAGATCTCAGTGAAGTCTGTAAATCCCCAGATCTGCTCCTTTCTCCCCTTCTAGCCTCCACCCTTCATTGGCTGGCTACGATCTACACAGGCTGTAGTAGTGGAGGTAACTTATTTACTATTTTGTAACACACACAAAAAAAAAAGCGCAAGACTTTTTACTAATTTTCAAATAAAGAGGCTTTGATACAACAGTTTTATGTCTACTGGATTTATTTTATATTTTTACAATAATGAATGATTAGTGATGGGTTTTTTTTGCAGAATGACTTTCGGAATAGTCTAATTTTTTTAAGGTATTTACAGTGTTACAGATGAAGAAAAATAATCAACTTGTTAAGACGTGCTGAATTGTATGTTTCTCTGTGTTACCATGACGACTGAGCTACACGCACTGATTGAGTAGAGTGGGTTTTGTGTCCTCCGCCAAGCTCCTCTGGCCTGCCTGCAACTCCGTGCACTCTTTATTCCAGTCTTTAAAACGATCGCAGGCCAGTGCCGAAGGGAGCAGCCGAACACCATCACACCCTGACGATTACTTGTGAAGTGGGGCGGGGCTATGAAAGTGGAGTGCATGCTGGGATTTTTATTGGGCCCAGATCTGGTGCTGCAAGTGCAGAACATCCATTCATCACAGACGTCGAAATAAAAGCAGCAAAGAGCGACAGAAGGAGTAAAAGGAATACAGACGAGTGCATAGTGATCTGGTCCCAGAAGCCACCAGTGATGGGAGGAGAAGCGAGTGCGTTTGTGTGTCAGGTATCACACCCCTGAATCTGTGGAAATACACCTCACTTCAAAACTGAACCCCTACCGTCTGCCACCAGGCACGTCTTGGTAATTCAACACCACTAAAAGGTCCCACTCTCAGGATTCGGTGTGTTTCTTCTTAAAAGCAGGGTTAGAAAGAGCTACAGGCCTTCGCTGACACCTGGTGGTAAAGTGAAAGACGGGCAGCGATCTGTGGACTCGTCTCAGTGCTTGTTGAGGCTCCAGAGGGGGTCCAGGCTGCTGAGCGGGTCGTCACCTTCCTCCTCTCGAGTCCCGTGGAGACCCTGACCCTCCGCTGGCTGCAAGAAGCTCTGCTTGGTCACCCGCTGCTTCCCCTTGCCCCCTCCCTCCATGGAGAAGGCCTCGGGCGTCAGTGTGGCCAGCAACTCCAGGGACGAAGGAGCCGGAGCAGAGGAAGCGGGAGGCGGGCTGATGCTGGGCGTCGCCTCTGGGACCGGCTGATGGTTGGCTGCTGGTGGCGTGCAGGGGGAGACAGCATCCAGGCCGTTGGGCGGTGGTGGAGAGTTGGTAGG